TTGCATTTTTTTGTTTCTTTCTTTTTTTGTTTACAAACCCTTGTGTTGAGGGCTGACTTTCAATAGATCGCAGCAAGGGAGCTGCTCTGCTATGTAGGAAACCCCGACCCAGAAACAGGTCATCTACAAATGGTTTAGCACCAGGTTCCCCATGAACATGTAGTGTGTGACTGGCGAGGGGGTGGCTGCCTTTCTGGCCACGCCCTGTGTCCCAGGACAAGGGGCTCTCTGCCCTGGACCCTGGTCCCATCGCACCATGTGGGCACGTGTGTGACGGCCCGCTGATGGGGACGGTGAGGGACCAGCTATCTGAGGCCAACCAAGGCTCCTGTGGTGCTGTTGTATCATTCCACCTGGACAGGATTCTGATTTAGAGGCATTCAGTCATAATCCCACAGATGGTAGCTTTGCCCCATCAGCTCCTCAGCCAAGCACATACACCAGATGTCTGAGGTTTACCTCTTTTCTTTAGGTTGACATTACATGGTGTCATAAGTGGGATCTGAAGGTGCCAACCGTCAAGAAACAACAGCCTCTGGATTCAGGTGAAGTTTCCGCACTTGAGTCCTTTGTGCTCTTTGCTTCTGTGAGTTGCTGTAACTTTCAGTTTGGTAAGTCTCCTCTCAGATCTCAAGCTACCTCCTTTTGGTTGAGCTTTCCTACTTTATTCAGGATCTAGTTAGGAACAGATTGTCCTTCTGGCAAGTACTCTTTTGTTTCTGATAATTGTATCCAGTCATCTGAATGTTCTAAATGTAGTCCTCCTTGGGGAGTCCTGGCTGGTTTTATGTTAAGCCAGTTAGGGTCCTTCATGTGCATGTTTGACTACCTAGACCAGTCTTACTAGGGATAATGTAGCACTCCAGCAGCCGTTACGTGAGACTTTAATCTCCCCAAACTTGTTTTCTTTGAACTAAGTTAGAAAATTGTGGCCACAATATTAAGCAATCCAAATGGGATAGTTATTTTAATTGGTATCTAGAGGCTACTAAACATTCAGGATTCTAAAATTGTCTCCTTACTGTTTCTAAATTAACTGAAGGAAATAAATAACCAAACATGAATTGAAAAATACCAGAGGCCTCTTCCTCATTGCTAACCAAGTTCCTTTCTAGCCCCCCTGTTTTACCTCATCTGTATCCTTCTTTGGTGCTCTCTTGAGTCTCCCCTCTGTCTGAACTGACTTTCTTCATGGTACTGAAACCACACCAAACTGAGCACATTAAAACCTCCTTTTACAAAATCAGACCTTCTGAGGATCCTACTAAAAACTGTAGATTTCCTGTGCCCTATTAACAAAGGCCAAAATTAGGGCTATATTTAAGTGTTTCCCCAAGGTAACTGAGAATCCTTGTACGTTTGTTGAGGAATTCAATATTGTAACCCCAGCCTACCAACCTGGTCTCTCTGATCTCTATCAGTTAGTCTACTTGCTTGTTGGAGAAGGCCAGGCCCCACAGTGGATTAAAACTACTGGTTGGGGAAACCCTGAACAATTTCTAGGGTTTATGCTAAACCAACCAGTAGCCCTTGTATATGGTCATGCTCATGTTATAGCCAAAAACCACACAAAGCCATCCCTAGAGCCTCCCCAAGCCTGTGGACTGGAATAAAAGTCAGGTGTGCATCCAAAACTTGTAGAATCCTTTCATGACTATTACAACAAACTCCAAACCTTTTTTTTTTTAAATATGTATCTTTATGGAATTATAGTCAGTTTACAATGTGTCAATTTCCGATGTACAGCATAACGCTTCAGTCATAGATGAACATACATATATTCATTTTCATATTCTTTTTCACCTTAAGTTTCCTGTACTATACAGTATGAACTTGTTTATCTATTTTATATGTATTGGTTAGTATCTGCAAATCTCCAATTCCAGTTTATCCTTTCCCACCCCCTTCCCCTCCTTGGTAACCATAAGTTTGTTTTCTTTGTGAGTCAGTTTCTGTTTTGTAAGTAAGTTAATTTGTCTTTGTTTTAGATTCCACATATAAGTGATATCAATATAGTATTTTTTCATTCTCTTTCTGGCTTATTTCACTTAGAATGACAATCTCCAGGTCCATCCATGTTGCTGCAAGTGGCGTTATTTTATTCTTTTTAATGGTTGAGTGGTATTCCATTGTATAAACATACTACAACTTTTTTTATTCAGTCACCTGTTGATGGACTGTTTCCATGTCTTGGCTATTGTAAATAGTGCTGCTTTGAACATTGGGGTGCATGTATTTTTTTGAATTAAGGTTCCCTCTGGATATATGCCCAGGAGTAAGATTGCTGGATCTTATGGTAAGTCTATTTTTAGTCTTTTGAGGAATCCCCATACTGTTTTCTGTAACAGCCGCACCAAACTACATTCCCACCAACAGTGTAGGAGGGTTCCCTTTTCTCCATAACCTCTCGAGCATTTATCGAACAAATTCCAAATCATTTTCAAAGAAAATTTTGGACTCCCTATAGATGTTCAATCTATTCAAGTGGCTTTTAAACTCCATGTTTATAAATGCCTACACAAAGACTTGTCCTTGTTGGTCAAAAGAATCTGTACTGAATAGGAGACAGTGTCCACTTCTGACCTTGTCAACCTGGCTAATGAATTAACTTACACCAAAGAAGATGACTTCAGAAAAAAGACAACCAACATTTTGAATCACCAACACCAACAGATAGAAATGCCAAAGTAAATCCATCCTACAGGACTGTGTCATTATTGCAAAAACCTAGCCATGGAGGATTGCTGCAAATTGAGATCCAAATAGACCCAACCTCCTAAGAACCAATTAAATCCCTTGAGAATAGTAATGCTTTGGAGGATTAGTCTTTCCACAGCATCCTCCCAGGAGACGAAGATATCAAATACCACACTTTGCATCCTGGGGACTTTGTTAAAAAAGGCATCTCCGTAGAGTCTCCCTCCGACATACCAGGTGTTGCTGACTGACTCCTGTGTCACCAGACTCCAAAGGATGGACTCCTGGATTCACGTGCCCCTTCTAAAATAAGGCCACCAAACTTGAGTGGATCTGCAACCCACCTGGTGATGCAAAGCTAAAAATTTCTAAGGACTGAAGCAGGTGACATCAGAAGTAGACAGCTTTCCCAAGATATCCAGACCAGGCCTGTGTCATGCTGCTTAAAGTTCTAATTGTCCTTTCTCTAGCTTTCTTGCCACCTTTTTTTTAGCTTTAATGCATCTCTTGGTTCCCACCTTACAAAAACTCCTGGATTCTGCCAACCTTACTGATTGTTTGGTTTGTGCCAGAGCTGATAATACTCATGACGAACCAGAACTGGTGGCCTGGCCATTATCCTTAGAAGGCTGGCAAAATTTGTTTGGCAGAGATGCACGGTTTTTCCTTTGGTACCTTTGAAGCAGTACATGTTCTTCCTGCTGGCAAATTGGCACCAGTCATTACAGCAGTCCATTTGGTTCCCCACCCCGCCAATGAAGCATAAAGCCTTCACCCAAAGCTCTTCCACTTGGGTTGGAGTAACGGAACTTGAACAAGCAGTTCAAAAGCTCTCCATAATCATAGCAACGACTTGTGATACTGCCTATCAGTTTCTAACTATAACACAATATATTCAAGTGGCTTTTTCTTTGATAATGTTAGCATCACTCTGTTATAGACCATGTTTTTTTTTAACTCCCTTCTTTTTTTTCCTTCAGTTATTAAAGAACATTTGCTTAATTTTTAAAAGCATCTATTCAGAATTAGAAAAAGAAGAAGTAGTAAACATAGAGTACCAATTCAAGAATTGGATTATTCCACATTGCTACTAACTGTTCCAAATTAAGACATCTGGTGACTAGGGAATTTTGGTTTCTCTCTGTTTGGTTAACCAGCTGGTTGTTCTGGAAAGGAAAAAGAAGTTCACTGTTCTTGGTGAAAGAAATTGGACATTCACAGACTTACTTTAAAGAATGACTTTTGGGTGGAAGATTTACTTGAGAAACTGGACATCTGAGGATGTTATTGAGGAAAATGTCTTTGTTTTTATAAAGACGCTTTGAAAGTTATATCTGGAACCTGAAAGATAATCTCATACTTCACGAGAGAGCATGTGTGTCATTCCCTCCCACCCCCTTCCCTTTTTCCTTGGTAACAAATTCCTGCACTTTTAAAAACTGTGCTTTCCCTAAGAATTTTAGTGTATTTAATGCATAAAGTGCCATATGTTGCTGCAACCAGTATCTTGAAAATTTGTGTGAATAACATATTCAGACTCACTAAGCAGGATTAATTTACAGAGACATTAAGTCTCAGTCATTATTGAATATGATACTCAAAATTTCATTGAAATTGTAGCAGATGTCAGTTCAGCATACCTTCCACTAAATATTCAGCACTTCTGCCCAATTTAAAGCAAATGGCCCTTTGGTAAATTGTTTTAAAGCCAAGTCTGTTAGTTTAACACATACACATTTCTCTAAATTTTTGGTATAAAAGTTTTCTGGGAAGTGTTCTGCTGAAGTGAAACTAATCATGCTTTTTATCCCAAGGTATTGTTTTCTCTACGACATACTGGCGATGCGTACGAATGACTATTCCTATTTCACTATTCCCAGTTTTTCTGAAATACTAATAACCAGTTTCCTAAGTTTTACACATGCAGTTTTGCTTCAGATAAACTGACATTAGAAATGCTTAATAAATGTAATGTCCAGTATAGAACTTTTGTGGCTACCATTAGATTTTTCTTGTTTGCCACTGACCTTGCTGCTAGTTCATGACATTAGACATTAGCAGCTACTGCTTCCAAATGCTTCCCCTTTAGAAAAAAAAAGTATGGCATATATTTATTATACAGGTAACATGGCCTACCCCTGTTTAAAAAAAAATGTACTTACAATAGAATGTAGTATATTGTAGGCAGCATAGTGTAGGAGTTTGTGGGTTCTGGAATAAGAATACTTGAGTTCAGAAACCAGCTTTACTCCTTGTTAGCTGTGCTTTTCTCGTAAGTTTAATAAACGTAATAGTACTTGTGGGGTTGTTATGGGGTTATATCATCATTAAAAATTTTAGCAATATTGAAAAGTAGTGGAAAGAAGGCAACACATCCTCTAGACTCTCTCTGTTTCTCTCTCTCTCCAGATATTTGAAATCCATTTTATGAACATTATTCCAAAGACCTTTCTGGTATATATATACAGACAGGATGAACAGAAGCATGCAGATTAGGAATAATTTTATTAAAGTAGAATGGTATGTTAAACATTTTCTCAAAATAGTATTACATATAGTTTAACTTGGATTTAGTAAATGAAAAATAAATAAAATGGAAAAAACTGCTAAAATGTGGGTGTTTCTTCAATATAAGAGATTAATTCCTTTCAAAATTTCCTTTGAGTTAACCCAAAGAAAAGGTAAATGATTTTAAGAGGTTGGAATTATTATACTTTGGAATTTTTTAAACTACATGTTTCAGATATCTACACAACTGACTAACTGATGCAGTCAGACATAGGTTTTTCTGGTCACCAGATGTGTGACTGAGAAAGTCAGACTCCTTTCATTTTGTGGCTCCACCATCCTTTAGTGCCTTGGAGTCTCCTCCATCCAGCTGGCAGATGGGTGAAGAGATGGTGAAGAAGGCACC